AATAAATAAATAATTAGGCATCATTTACAGCATTTACAGAAGTATATGTCACTTTATTTTTTATAAATATGTAAAGGCAGTGCATCAATGGAAACATTAAGAAATATATCAGAAAAAAGCAAATTTGACCAAGTCCTTGCTACCGGCTAACTGCACGTCTTCACCTGACAGAGGCGGCACTGAACAGCCTCCTGACCAAGACTGACACGAGCCACCACGACACAAGAGCAGGGCTGGAGGACTGCAGCCCACAGCCATACCCAGCCCACAGGCTGCGAGCGAGGAGCAGTGTTGGAGCCCAGGGGTTGTCTCAGGAAAAGAAGAGCTGTGGCAGAGGTTCTGTGTGGCCTGCAGAGCCTGAGCCCTGCACAGCAGCCTTACAGAGAGGTCCTGGCTGAAGGGAGGCCTGCTCAGCTCTTCCTCCGCCAGCTGGGAGGCCACACCCAGCCAGTGGTGTGAGCCAGACCCCACCCTCCCCCATTCCTTTGCCCCGCCCTAGGCCTCTGCCAGCCAGGCAGTTAAGGCCAAGGACAGCTTTCTACGGGAGGGGGCCCTGAAGCTGAAAGCCCCCTGCACCTACCTGGCTGGGTGGTGAGGGCAAATAAGGGCAGTGGCCCTGAAGGAAGGTCCCTCCATTCCCAGGTCACCACAGGGAAGGCTGCCGGGGAGCCCCAGCCTTCCCTGGGCTTTCTAACGGTCAAGCAGGCCTCCAAGTCCTGAGACTCCCAGGTTACATGCAACACTGGAAAAGGACATTCACTCTCACATTCTCGCTCATTCTCACTCGCATAGAGAGGCTCTAGAAACCTAGCTGTAACTATCTGCTTATTAGCTCCTGAGTTCGAATAACATTTTTCAAATAAGACTACTTTGAGGGGCGCTCCCTGGTGGTGCAGGGTTCAACTGCCCAAGCCTTTGTAGTACAATGGGGTCCTTTTAAAAATACAACTCCTCTGGGCCCTCCCTGGTGGCACAGCAGGTTAGAGCACAGCACTAAGAAGCTATATCTAAAGCTTCACCCCCGGAGGTGACCCACAGGGCACGGCAGACCTCTCCTGTCTCCTTGCAGCTCCCCTCGGCAGTGTACTTCGTCAGTCAGCCTGTTCTGCTCCCCGCTCTGTCTCTGGTGAATCCTCTCACTGTCCCTGCACTTCTGGCCTGTTCCCCAGTTCTGTATGCACAAATAAATAAATCTTAAAAATATATATACATATATATCCTCTCAGGTACTCAGAACACCTGACCTGCAAGAAACCAGAACTTTAACAGCTCGTTACTTAGTGAATATAAACACATTTTAAGAGTCAGCCTAATCACCCAAGCAGAATTCAGGGCTCAGAGGTACGATTTCCCACAGCAGATACAATTAGGGGCATCTTCAATCAGGAAGACAAAAACAAGGAAATGTTAATATAAAACCCTCCATTTCTCTTCAAGATCCTGCAGTGATGATAAGCTAGATTAAAGAGTTAAGAAGAAGGCTTTCTCCAAGTGTTTAGGAAACAGACAGCTAATTATTTCGCAAGAAAGACACGGTGAAAGTGACAGCATGTTCACTCTCACTCTCCCTGCCACTCCCACACAAACCTAGTCGCCTCAGATCAAGCTGCCTTCATGAGTGATCCACTGAACTGCTGAAACCCCTTTCTTAGCAGCAACATCTGGGCCAGGTACTTTACTTCAGGCTATCAGGGACACTGTCCCAGGGAAAAGGTACTCCCATCTCCACCACAGGAAGGTGGTTACATCACTTGCGAGAGGTGCTGAGGAGAGGCCAGTCCTTCCCAGGAAGGCCAGGACACTGCTGGAGGGGCCAGCACGTGCAGCGGGGCCAACACCTACGAGCACTCGCTTTCGCCCAAGAAACAGCAGTTCCCACAAAACCGCTTACCACGACCCAGCACCTCAACAGACCCGGTTCCAAAGGCTCCACTGCGTGCGGGGGCCTGAGGAAAGCTATTCCACCTCTGTGCCTCACTGTCCCCACCACATCGGGCCGGAAGGGAGGCTGTGGGAAGGCCTGCACGCTCAGGCCGCACAGCCATGGCCTGGAGGAAGGTCCTGCATGTGTGAGTCGGAGAAGTCAGGAGGGACGGCAGGCAGGCCCTTGCGGCGCTCTTCACTGAGCACCAGGGGATGAGCAGAGCTACAAGTCTGCGCGGCAGCTGGCCCCTTCCGAGTAGAGATGCCCGTTTCCTAGAGTGGCCTCCCGGCTCGAAGGCCGGCTGAGAGCAAGCACTGAGTGTCTACTGGAGACAGCACATTTCTCTCAGAGCCGGCTTCACGGTACTCCTTCCAAAGAGCACGGCAAAAGCAATCACGGGCTCCAAAATCTTTGCCAGTGCTAACTTGTGACACCTTCGCTATTTCTGTTGTCCTTACACACAGTAAATAAAGGACTGGAATCCATTTGCATGTGCTCAATTAGTCAGTAAGCACACGAAAGCACGGACAGCACTTCAGTGGAGAAATCCAGAACAACCTGACGAAAGGTCCCGACCCAGTGAAGGAGAATCTCTGAGAACGGAGAAGCTACAAAGAACGAGCCCAGACGCCAAGGCTGCGCAGCGGAGAGGAGGCGCGCCAGGGAGGGCGGTGGCGAGCCGCGCTGGGCCAGGAGAGGGCCCGGCAGGCGCCACCAAGCCACACGCTCCAGGCCAGAGGAAGAAACACCAGGCACATGCGAGAACCGTCGCCGCAGGAAGTCTATGGCAGAGAGGAGCTCTGAGCAGGCACTAGGAAGGACAGGGCTCCCGGGACGCCACCAGAGTGAGCTGAAACAAAGGCCTCAGCCACACCAAAAACGAACCCATGACCACAGGGGCTCTCGGACACGGGCACAGGAGAGGAAGAGGCCCGGGCACAGAGCTGCCCTGGACGTGGGGCCGAGAAGTGGCCGGGAGGTCAGGGGCCATCAGGGAGAGGACCGGGGCAGTATGTGGGATGGAGGGGGAGGAGCCTCCCGGAGAGCGGCTGCGCAGAGCCTGGAGCCCTCCCGGCCTGCCAGGGCCCTCCAGAGGTCTCCGCTTCAGAACGCAAGGTGCCCGCGCCAATAGGCTTCACACACAGCGCAGCCCCTCTGCCAATCTCAAACAGCATCCGCAAAGCTGAATTTTCCCAGTTTCTTCAGTCCTACCTGGACGCTGGCGTCGGGCGATACAAACTGACGGTATGCCTTCCGAACTCTGAGCTGCCTGGGAGATACACAGCCTGAGAGAGCAAGGGCCCTCTCGCCTGCTTGCTGCAAACCCACCTGGGCGCAGGGCAGGGCACGAGGGGCGGGCCTGTCACCCACCCTGCTCTCCTCTAGAAAGCCAGCGCCGGGACATCCAGTCTCCCCCTGGCACCGGGTCTCCATGTCCCTCCACTAGCCCTCACTGTGAATACACAGATGTGCAGGCATTCGTGGGCATGACTCCCACAATTTTAAAAAACTTCAATTCAAGCATAGGCAGAGTGCAGCTTACTTACACGAAGAATTTTTTTGAGTTGGGACTGAGGGACTAGGAGAAAAAAGACAAGGAACGAGGCTGACACGGGAGGGATCAAGTTTCTGCAGGACTCCTATTGGAAAGCAAAGCACGAAAAGCAAGGAAAGCCAGCTGGGTGCAGCCTGCGCACGGCACAAGAGCGTCAGCTAGGAGCCACGCACACGTCTTCTGTCTGTTGTCAAACCAAAGCAAGTCTCTCTCTCACACACACCACCGCCAGACAACCTACACGCAGCAGTGACTGAGTCTAACGGCCTCTCTCCACAGGCTTCTCGGCGGCAGGCCTGGCGGCCTCGGGTTCAGGAGCCCCAGAAGCTAGGGTGACGGGGACGCCAGAGTCAGAGGTGCGCCAGAGCTAACTCCAGAAGCTCTTATTCAACTCTCTTTGTGGCCGCTATTCAACAGTGCCACAAAACCATACAACGCCTGGATAAAGGGGTGGCCCAGGCCTGGCGCCAGGGTCTCACGACAGCGCTGCTGCTGCTGCTGCTGCGACGACTCGCAGAAGGAAACTCCTTTTGGTGTTAATGGTCTCACCTTTCAAACCAAGTTTAAAAATTAAAAGAAATGTTTTCTTCTCTGTGGCTCCTTGCCCATTACAGGTTATCTGGCAACAGCTTCTTCCAGTTTACTGCATCAGCAGGCTCCCAGGAACACAAATGGGGTGGGGATACAAACAGACGTTCTCCTAGGAAAAAAAGATCAGAGTTACAACACGCTCGCTCGCGCTCTGGTGAGAGCTGCCGCTAGGATGACGACTCGGGTCAGAAAAGCATACTTCAGAGAACTGAGGCGTTCTGGGCAACTTCCTGAAAACGGGAAACAAGGCGCTGTCGTCCCTCTACGCCAGCTTTTATCCTACACTAAGCAAAAACCCAGACAGAGACACCACAATGGCACTATCACTGAGTGGTAAGAAAAAGTCTTACCTTTAGCTAAGGAAAACATCAATTATGGTCGTAACCAACCAAGGGTTGAGTGCAAGGCCCTACCCTTGAAAAACTAAAACTGCAGAAGCATCTGTCTCTGAATGTCAAGTGGGCACACACGACACTTCTAAACTAGCGTACTTTTATTAAAAACTGTGAGAACAGCAAGGTCACTGAAATGTGGGCTGGAACCAAACTCCGTCATACTGGCTCGGCAAGCCCAAATCTCTCGTCAGGTAACCGAAGGCCTCACCCAAAGGGCCACGGCGCCCCATCTATGCCTCGGTGCTACAGAGCACTCAGGCACGGACACCGTGTAAATTAGACCACAGTCCGATCAGGCATGCCAGCCCTTCCGCCCTCCCATGTGTTCTTCAGAGCTTGCACTGTACTGTGATCTCAACTCAACGTCTGTCCTCAAGTTCAACGAAACGACACTAACGCGCAATAAGCAAACTCAAGAAAAGGGTACAAAGCTTGGTGACAAAGATATTTAATGAATATATACTTGAAAAGACATAAATGATTATCTGAATTTTAAAGTCGTAAGTTAGCTGGTGGCAGCAAGCGCCACTCCACTCTGCAGACAGGGGCGTGAAAGCCCCTTACTGAACATCACAGCCATTCTCTACATTAGAGGTTAGGCTCTGGATCCCCATAAGAATCTGATGAAGATATGAACTCCATAGAATTCGGCATTTAAACTCAAGCAGGTCCAGAACATTCAGAGTCAATCTACAATTGCTTCTCACACCGGCCATGACCACCCATCCACTTCACTGACTTGCAGCTGGTCAACCACAGGCTCCCAGAGTGTTAGCACCTGCCTCACAATGCCTCTCCCTTTTGCCCAAAAACGCCAGGAGTAAAGCTCGCTATCAAATGTGCTCACAGCATCATGAATCCAGGTCCGCAGATACAGTAAGTACCCTGAAACATCACGTACTTTTCTGGAAAGGGGCCTGTATTAATTGTTCACAGTTTTCTCGATTTGGCTAATTAGGGGGTAACGAATGGGTCTCTACTATTGATGGTAAGGAACAGGGTTACTCCAAACTCTGAGAATATGAGAACCACGATCAAGTGAGAGACACACAATGGAATGGTATACCAATTCTTCACGGGAACTGCTGGGTGGAATGTCTCCAGAACTACAGTGAAAGGACTGCTGTTTCTAAGGTACCATCCATAAGGACAAAGAGAACTCAACAAAACTGAAGGGGTACTGGAGTGGAGCACAAAGCGTGCTGGCCGAAGGCCACCTAAGAAGCCCTTAGAGCCCGCAGTCTCCCACACTGTCCTGCGCGCCCAACCCTGACACACGGGTGATCGGGGAGGCCAGCCAGGAAGAACAGAGTCGGGCGACCCCGACTCTGCACACTGAAAACACAAGCTGTGTGAACTGCAGCGCGAGCCGCACCCACCCTAACCAGAGTGTGTGCCAAAGTGTCCAGCCAGGGTGGACGCTGAGAGGCCCTGGAATGTTCTGACCCACTGTTGACAACTGCCATCGGGGCATTCCAACAAACGGAGTTCCCTGTCATTCCGCTGGAAACCTCGGACCCAGTGAACCCCGCCAAGACCGGGGTCTGCTTGGAACACTTGTCGCCGTAACCCAAGGAATAGTTGCAAGAGCAGTACAAGAAGCCCCCAGGGCCTCTGCCTACACTCACAGGGGCACTCTCCACTTTTGCTCTCACGTAAAGCCAGACCCTGGAGAGGCATCACACCCTTTCAACATTTCAATGTCATTTCCTAAGAACACGGATATCTGACAGCCACAGTGCACACGTCCAAGTCAGGAGCTTACCAGATGTCCCGCTGAGCACAGGTCAGATCGCGCTCCTAGCATGCCCACTGCTCTGACTGTCTTCCTGGCGACTCCCCCGCCCCACCCGGGGCCAGGGCCACATCTGCGCTTCCCTCCATCGGAAACAGTTCTTCAGCATCCCCTTGTCTTTCACTTCACTGACCTCTCCGATGTCTTTGTGACCAGAAATATACCACAGACATCTGTAACTTTTATTCACATCAATTAGCATACGGCAAAACTGGTTTCCTTAGACATCATTTTGCTTAAATCCCAATTTCCCAGAATCCACAATGCTCAGGGAGGCTTTACTGTACAGAGTATGTAATTCTGGGAGGAATGCTATTATTCCTGACAGTGAAACTTTGTTTTTCCTGCAGTACAACAGTGAGAGATAAGATGCTCCCCTGTCCCTTTACTGGTGATAATTCTGATCACCTGTGTCATACTTGTCATTTTTCTCCCCTGTAAAATACCATTTTTCTGTATTATGAAGTAGTCTATGGGAAGGTACTTGAGACTATATTCTTAAAACATTCAGCTGCCTCCAGTGTTATTCTAGTAGTTACAAATTTTTTTAAGTGATTTCCTGAAAATGTCCTGCTCCTTCTGCATGCATGAGTTTACACGCTGACCTCAGCTAGGTATAGTCATCGCTTCCCACACATCTGCTCTAAATTCACGGACACGATGGACACACGAATTCTTCTTTTACATTAATGAATGTCATTATTCATTCTGATGTTCAAGATGTCCCAGATTTGACCAGTGGGAGCCCCTTTAAGCAGATTCCTGTGTGCTTTTCGTATTTTTTAAGCACTTCCTATTTCCTGGCATAACAACATGTTCAGATTCATTTTGTACATTGTCTGGACCAGCTCTGACATCAACCATCTCCAAGAGTCCTGGTTCTTTCAGTGGGTGTTATGTAGCAGGGACAAAAGGAGAGCTAAGTATACCCACGAGCGCGGACACTGCTGGGAAAGAATGGTAACTATGATCCAGCTCCCCGTGTACCTACATCTGATTTTAAGTGGAAATGAAAATGAAGGATTACTGGACATCTCAGGAAAAGCCTCCATCTAGAACAAAGCAAAGGAAAAGAAAGTTGGGGGGCAGTGAACGACTAAATAAGAACATAAAAAATAACATGTCTCAGAAGGATAATGCACCCATTCAATAAAGAGGGTACTATTTTTTTTTTTAAAGATTTATTTATTTGTGCATACAGAACTGGGGTACACCAGAGGCTCAGGGGTGGTGAGAGGCTTCACCAGAGACAGAGTGGGGAACAGAACAGGCAGATTGACGAAGTACACTGCTGAGGTGAGAAGCGGGCGGGCCAGGAGAGATCTGCCACACCTTGTGGTCACCTCCAGGGCAGGCCGGAATCGAACTCATGCGGAAGCAGCTTTAGATTCTCAGTGTTGTGCTTTAACCCACTGTGCCACCAGGGAGGGCCAAGAGGGTACTATTTTAAAAGGCACAGGGGATAACTAGCAGGCACAGGGGATAACTCATAAAGACGGAAAATTATTTCCAACCTAGAAGCTTATACCCAGCCAAATTACCAACCAAATCTCAAAAGGTGAATGTTTCATCTAGCTATTCGCCAAAAAAGAAAATCAGTAATGATTGTGCTCCACTGAAGCAAAAGGAGAAGATGACACCAGAGAAGACAGGATCAGGAGAGACAACGTGGGAAAGAGGCAGCCCCAGGAGCCCCACAGAAACCTGAGCTCCCAGCAGGGAAGGGAAGCCACCCAGACTAGAGTAGGGAAAGAAAGACTCCTTCAGGAGAATAAAGCTGACAGAATACCTAACATGCCACTGGCTAAGTGCCTGAGGGACAATCAGTGATTTAAGTATTTTTAAAAAAGACAACAAGAGGCTCTCCCTAGTGGCGCAATGGGATAAAGTGCAGCACCACTGCAGCACAAGTTCAATCCCCGGCCAGGGAGCTGACCCATATGGCGCAGCAGACCTCTCCTGACCTGCCTGTTGCTCCCCTCAGCAGTGTACTTTAGTTGAATGTGCCTGTTCTGTCCCCTACTGTCTCTGGTGAATCCTCTCACCACCCCCACCTCTGGCCTGTACCCCAGCTCTGTAAACATAAATGAATCTTAAAAAAAAAAAAAAAAGCAAGATACAATAGTCTCAAAGAAAATTTAAAAAGGCTTAGTATTTACAAATGGCCTGCAATAGCTGTAAATTGCATATAGGGTCTTAATAACTAGAGCTAAATTGTAAATTAACCGGAATAGCAATAAATCAGCATTCATTAGAAGACTGGGAGAGAAAGGTTGAGGGGAAGAGAGAAAACTAAGCTTTATCTCCCACATCTGTTCACAACAGGAAATCAAAAGCTATGCTTAAGTTTTGTTTTTTTTTAAATCAGCAGCAGGCATACAAATCCGAACTTTTCAACGACACTCTTCAGATATACCAGCAGTACAGACTTTTTAACTGAAAGAGTTGAAAGTATCATCGTTGCCTTCGGGAAAATGGAAAAGGGTAGAGTGGCTAAGAAATGTTGTTTCTCTTACCCAACTACCTCCAACTAACTTCCTCATCTCCTCTTAACTGTGGGTATGTAAATTTTGACCAAAAAATATTTTTGACATTTTTTAAAAAGGAATACTACAGTGGGACAGGATATTACGTGATGAAACGGAGCTGTGGTATCACCTACTCATGACCTCTGACCACGAGTCGTTCCACATCTCTCCATCAATAAAATGTGTTGGAGTAAATTACCTTTCTGCTTCAAAAACTTATGACCCAAGTGTAAAAATGATCAAACTTCTAAATACAGTGACTGGCTACAGCCATTAGGGGATTAAATTACAGAAAAGAATTAAGTAAGACTTGGTAGAAGACTAAATGCCTAACATAAAATAGGGGGAAGGGAACCTGTCTTATGTTTGTGGAAACAGTTTGTTCATAGTG